AGCCGTAGCAACTTCTTACTAGACACGTTACCACAGGCAAGGGAGACAAAAGCAAAAATGAACTATCAGGACTCAATCAAGATAAAAAGCTTTTGCACAGACAAGAAAACAATCAACAAAACTAAAAGGCAACCATTGGAATGGAAGAACATATTTGCAAGCAATATATCTGATAAAGGGTTTCCAAAATCTATAAAGAACTTTTCAAACTCAACACCCAGAAAAACAAATAATCCAGTTAAGAAATGGGGCAAAACACATGAATAGACACTTTTCCAAAGAAGACATCCAGATGGCTAACAGACACATGAAATGATGCTCAACATCACTCGTCATCAGGGAAATACAAATCAAAACCATGATGAGCTACCACCTCACACCTGTCAGAATGGCCAAAATTAACAACATAGGAAACAACAGATGTTGGTGAGGATGAGGAGAAAGGGGAACCCTCTTTACTGCTGGTGGGCATACAAACTTGTGCAGCCCCTGTGGAAAGCAGTATGGAGGTTTCTCAGAAAGTTAAAAATAGAACTACCTTTCGATCCAGTAATTGCACTACTAGGTATTTACCCAAAGGATACAAAAATACAGATTCAAAGGGGTACATGCACCCCGATGTTCATAGCAGCAATTTCAACAATAGCCACACTATGGAGAGAGCCCAAATGTCCATCAACTCATGAATGGATAAAGATATGGAAATGTAGTATATGTATGTATATATATAGTAGTGTATGTGTGTATGTATATATGTAATAGTGTATCACACATATACTACTACATATATACATACACATACATATGTATGTATATATATGTAATGGAATATTACTCAGCCATCAAAAGGAATGAAATCTTATCATTCACAATGATGTAGGTGGAGCTAGAGTGTATTATGCTAAGTGAAATAAGTCAGAGAAAGACAAATACCATACGATCTCACTCATGTGGAATTTAAGAAAGAAAATAGATAGGGTGCAGTCTCTTAAGCATCTGATTCTTGGTTTTGGCTCAGGTCATGATCTCAGGGGTCCTGGGATCAAGCCCCGTGTCAGGCTCCACACTCAGCATGGAGTCTGCTTGAGATTCTCTCTCTCCCTCTGCCCCTCCCACTTGTGCTGTCCATAAATAAATAAATAAATAAAATATTTTTTAAAAAAGAAAGAAAATTGATGAACATATGGGGGGGGGAGGGAAACAAACCATAAGAGACTCTTAAAAATAGAGAACAAACTAAGGGTTGATGGAGGGAGGTGGGTGAGGGATGGGCTAGGTGGCTGATGGGTATTAAGGAGGCACTTGTGATGAGCACTTGGTGTTGTATTTAAGTGATGAATTACTGAATTCTCCTAAAACTAATACTGCACAGTATGTTAACTAAAACTTAAATTAAAAGAAGAAAGAGGATCTAAAAAACATCCCCTCCCAAAAGAAAATTAGTGTATTGACTACAAATCATCCAGATCTAACAGACATTTCGAGAATACTCTGCTACCAATAGAATATACACTCCTTAAGTGCACAAGGAAGATTCTTCAGGATAGATCATATGCCAGGCCACAAAACAAGCCTCAATAAATTTTAAAAGGTCTGAAATCATACTAAGTGTTTTCTGATAACAATGGAGTGAAACTGAAAATCACTAACAGAAAAAAATTGGGAAATTCATGAATATGTGAAAATTAAATAACACTTCTTAATCCAGTGGGTCAAAGTAGTCACAAGGAAAATTAGAAAATTCTTTTGAGATGAATGAAAATGAAAACCAAACATACCAAATGTGGGATGTAAGTACAGCAGTGTTCAGAGGGAAAGTCATGGTTACAACTTTCTACAGTAAAAAGGAAGAAAGATACCAAATCAAAAAGTTAATCTTCACCTTAAGACAATAGACGTTAAGAGAAAGAAGGAGCAGTAAGCAAAAGGGTCTGAAATGGGCTAAGGAGATGGAACAGAACGAAAGCCCAGATAGAAAAGAAAAACAATTTGTCTTTGTTACTGGAGCAGAGGACATTACGATTATTTCTGTGTTTGCTGTAAGATTATAAAGTTACCATCTTTACCACTTTCATCTGTTTTCTATGTGAAGGTAGACTTGAGGTGAAGCTGGATATGAAGTGACTAAAAGGACAGAGCATTGGAGATTTGAAGAATAGTCCCCATGTAATGTGGTTATAAAGTCCTTGTGTGGAGTTGACTACAGAAAATTATTAGGAATGTCAGGCCGTTGAGGATCCTTTGGAGGCTGGTAGCAGTGTATTCTAGAGAACTACTAAGCTGCCCTGTTGTGTGATTCCCTCAGCTGCATTCGGGTCTGTGGGGAAGGCATAGAAAAAGCGAACGTTGACATTCACATATGGCTAGGCTTTTTGCTAGTCGGGTGAGATGGAAAGAAATGGACAAGGAAATTTAGGATGTTGAAGTGATAGGCCATGATCCATAAGCTAGATAAGGATGAACCAAAGAAAGTAAAAAGCTAATGAATAGGGAACAAGTAGAAGGGTCAATGAACCAGAGTCACTGGGAGGTCTAACAGCTCCATGAGGGCAGGGAATCTGTTCTGTTTACTAATGTGGCCCAACCCCCAGAATAGTGCCTGGCACATATTTGTATTGAACGAATCACCAGGGCAGAGCTGGGATCATTTATAAGCAAGCTGGAAGAACGGGAGGTTGTGGTCAGAGTCAGATGACTGAATGAGGGATGGAGGAGGCAAAGCATCATCAGTGACACCTTGTGATGTCTGACACACTCGTGTGGTAGGTTCTCGGTAACTGTTAGCCTTCATCATTACTTTTTTTGGCCTGTTGTAGGAATTACTTATTTTTAAAGAAATAGAGTCATTTCTCTACCGCTGGATGAGTTGACCTTTCCCAAATAAGTATCAATTAAAGCCGTTGGAAAAATCAGGGTTGTTAGATTCTACCTCACATGGGTGGAAGAAACCAACAAAGTGCTAGCAGGAATTCCCTTCCTTTCCAGATTAGCCCTGTCTAGTTGTGAAAGCTGGAAGCTCACAGTACTTCTAAAGCTTCCTGTTGTTCTGTTTCTTTTGCTTATCACAGGTGTGGACCCTTTTATATTTGCCATGCTGTATCACCTCTCTAAAGTATACTGACCTTTCAGTTGGTTTTCAAAGCCCTCTCTTTTGCTTTTAGTACAGGCATACCTCGTTTTCCTGCACTTCGCTTTATTGCAGTTCACAGAATAGTGTGTCTTCTACAAATTGAAGGTTTGCAGCAACCGCGCATCAAGCAAGTCTGTTGGCACTATTTTTCCAACAGTATTTGCTCACTTTGTATATGTCACGTTTTGGTAAATCTCATAATATTTCAAACTTTTTCATTATTATTAGATTTGTTATGGTGATCTATGATCAGTCATTATGACTTGCTAAAAGCTCAGGTGATGGTAGCATTTTTTAGCAATAATGTATTTTTAAATTAAGGTATGTACATTGGTATATATTTTTTTTAGATATAATGCTGTAGCACCCACAACAGACTACAGTATAGAGTAAACATGACTTTTATATGCACCAGGAAACCAGAAGACTCATTTATTGTGGTATTTGCTTTATTGCAGTGGTCTGGAACTGAATCCTCAATATCTCCAAGCTATGCCTCAAGGGGCCTCAAGTCTCATTTAAAATTAAGGATGGCTGTTTGCAAAGGAAAAGTTTACAGAAGGAGGCTGAAATGATAATCTTGTTTTAAACAATGCCAATGTTTTCCCAGTTAGCTAAATTAATCAAAGAAGTATTTTGATTTTGAGGATTCACCTCTTTTTTGAATGCTTGACAGTAGTACTTACCCTGTTTCTCCCCCACACCCCATCATATAATTACTTGTACACAGTCAATAATAAGTCTGTGCTGACTGATCTTTAATTGTAGAATAAGCAGTCCTCTGAAATGCCCTGCCCTCTACCTCTTTGCATGGTAAATTTCTTTTATGATCTATATCAAGTATCTTCTCCCAAACCATCCCAGCTCTTACAGGCAGATGAACAGGCCTCTGTCCTTAGAGTAGCTCACACTAATTTCTATTACACTGCCATTTATTTATTTGTATATCTGTTCCTGTCCTTGCCTTTTATCTACCCAGGAGCAGGGACTTTGTCCTATTCATCTTAGTGTCTGCAGTGCCCTGTGTGTGCCTGCCATGTTTGAGGTACTCCAGAATTGTCTGGCAAATGAATTTGACTGCAAGAAAACACATTTACAAGTACTTTGTAGACTTAGGTTGGAAAACCCTGCCCTCTAAAGGATTTTGCCTCTTTAGAGTTTTCTGCAGTTAGGACACTGCTGTTATGTGAGCAATGATTAATTGATTATGGCTCTGTGATCCAACCAGTAGATGCAATTAACTTAGAGAAAGTTAGCCTTTTTTCCTATACCAACTTATTTTAAATTAAGCATAGCATATAGTTGGTACTCTGTGTAGATTTGTTAAGAGTACAGATGTCCTACCAAGATGTTAACAGTGACCATTATTGGGGTGGTGATATTTTTGTTTTTAACTTTTTTCTTCAGATGTAATGTTTTTCATTCTCTGAATTTTCTGTTTCAGTATTTATATTGGGAAATATGTTTTCCACTTTTAAAAGATAGGATACGGAATGGAGACAGTTAAGAGAAATAAATGCTTTGGTACAATTTGGAACAACTCCACTGGGTCACATTGGGCCAGTCCATGCTTTGGTAACAAATCTCAGTGGCTTAGAAAAGCAAATGCTGATTTGCTGAGGGACAGCTGGGGATCTTTTACACCCAGTGTCTCAGATCCAAGCCTCCCTCCATCTCAAAGTGGCTTCTGCAGTTGCTGTAGCCAGGGGAGAGACAGGTGGGGAGACCTACCAGCTCCCAGCAGCCTCAGCACATGTCCCTTTGCCATGGCTAACATGAGTGCCGTGGCCCCAAGCTTCCTGCAAAGTATAATGGAATATGTAGAAGAAGATCAGTTGTCTTTAACGTGATATAACTCTTTATTTTACAGTTACTGTAATGAATGTATGTTGGATCCAGACTGCGGTTTCTGCTACAGGATGAACAAATCAACTGTCATTGACTCCTCCTGTGTTCCAGTTAATACAGCATCTACGAATGAGGCAGCCTGGGGCAGGTATGTCATCCCTTATATACCATAAGAACATAAAATACAATTTCAGAATGAGACCTTTTTTTATTATTGATTATATTCCCTATGCTATACATTTCATCTGTGTGACTTACTTATTTTATAACTGGAAGTTTATACCTTTTAATCTCATTTACCTATTTCCTCCATCCCCCAGCCAACCTCCCCTCAAGCAACCACCAGTTTGTTCTCTGTATTTAATAATCTGTTTTTTTGTTAGTGTATTCACTTGTTGGTTTTTAAATTCTACATGTAAGTGAAATCATATGGTATTTGTCTTTCTCTGTCTCATATCACTTAGTATAATACCCATGAGGTCCACCCATGTTGTCACAAAGGGCAAGATCTCATTTTTTTTATGTCTGAGTAGTATTCCATTGTCATCTCTATGCCGTATCTTCATCCAATCATCTATTTTGGACCCCTTGGGTTGCTTCCATATCTTGACTATTGTAAATAATGCTGCAGTAAACATATGGGTACATGTATCTATCTTTTCAAATTGGTGTTTTGGTTTTCTGGGGGTAATTACCTTGTAGAGGAATAACTGGATCAACTATTTTAGTTTTTTGAGGAACCTCCATGTTTTTCATAGTGGGCTGCACCAGTTTACATTTCCACCAACAGTGCACGATGGTTCTCTTTTCCCCATGTCTTCATCAACACTTGTTATATGTTATTTTTTTGATACTAGCCATTCTCACAGGTGTGAGGAGCTATTTCATTGTGGTTTTGATTTGCATTTCCCTGATGATTATTGATATTGAGCATCTTTTCATGCGTCTGTTGACCATCTGGATGTCTTCTTTGGAAAAATGTCTGTTTAGGTGCTCTGCCCATTTTTTTTTTAACTTCAGATTGGTTTTTGGTATTGAGTTGTGTAAGTTCTTTTTATATCTTGGATGTTAACCCTTTATCAGGTATATCATTTGCAGATATCTGCCCCCATTCACTAGATTGCCTTTTTATTTTGTTGATGGTTTCCTTTGCTGTGCAAAAGTTTTTATCCCAGGGATGCAAGCATGGTTCAATATTCATAAACCATTCCTTGTGATACATCACATTCACAAGAAGAAGGATAAAAACCATATGATTATTTCAATAGATAAAGAAAAAACATTTGACAGAATGCATTTGTTTGTGATAAAAACTTTAAACAAAGTGGGTTTAGAGGAAACATACCTCAAACTAATAAAGTCTACATATGAAAAACCCAGAGGTAATATCATACTCAGTGGTGAAAACTGAAAACTTTTCCTCTAAGGTCAGGAACAGGACAAGGATGTCCATTCTCAATACTTTTATTCAACACAGTACTAGAAATCCTAATTGCAGCAATCAGACAAGAAAAGGAATTAAAAGGCATCCAAATTGGTAATTATTTGCAGATAACATGATGCTATATATAGAAACCCTAAAGACTCCAAAAAACTATTAAAACTGATAAATGAATTCAGTAAAGCTACAGCATACAAAATTAATATGCTGAAATCTATTGCATTTTTATACACTAATAACAAAGTAGCAGAAAGAGAAGAAAACAATTCCATTTACAGTTGCATCAAAAAAATAAAAATAAAAAACCTTAAAATAAATTTAACCAAGGAGATGAAAGACCTGTGCTCTGAAAACTGAGACAATGGTGAAATCAAAGAGGACATAGACAAACAGAAAGTTATATCATGCTCATGGAATGAAAGAATTAATACCATTAAAATGTCCATACTATCCAAAGCAATCTACAGATTCATTGCAATCCCTATCAAAATACCAAATGCATTTTTACAGAACTAGAACAAATAATCCCAAAATTTGTATGGAATCACAAAAGATTTCTAAGAGTCAAAGCAATCTTGAGAAAAAGGAACATAGCTGAAGGTATCACAATCCCAGATTTCAAAGTATATTACAAAGCTGTAGTAATCACAACAGTATGGCACGAAAATAGGTACATAGGACAGTGGAACAGAATAGATTCCAGAAATAAACCCATGCTTTATGGTCTATTAATGTATGACAAAGGAGGCAAGAATATACAATGGGGAAGAGTCTCTTCAATGAATGGTGTTGGGAAAACTAGAGAGCTACATGCAAAAGAATGAAACTGGACCACTTTCATATACCACACACAATAAACTCAAAATGGATTAAAGACCTAAATGTGAGATCTGAAACCATAAAATAACTAGAAGAAAACATAGGCTGTAATCTGACATCAGCCTTAGCAATATTTATGGATATGTCTCCTCAAGCAAGGGAAACAAAAGCAAAAATAAACTATTGGGACTATGCCAAAATAATAACCTTTTGCACAGCAAAAGAATAAGTCTTATTTTTAAACTTACAGCGTGACTGCATTTATAGTCAATGACTGCAGTTCTTTTAAACTAGTCTTTTAAATGGATTTTCACAACTATATTACTTTGCAGCATATACTGATATAAGGTGGCACTATAAAGTTACACTTGTATGTTTCACAAACTTAGAGTAGAAAGCACTCAAGCCTAGACTTTAGGAAATTCAGATCCAGACCCAATTCTGTCTTAAGCTATAGAAGGTTGGCTCTTGAGTCAGATGTTCCCTCATATTTCCAAGGCAATTCTCCCATTGCATGTTGTTTAACTACACCAGTAATTTTCAAACTCTGAAACTTAAGTAAAAGAAAATTTTCAAGTCACAATAAATTGATATCACTTTAAGTTCTTTCATGCAACTGTTGTTTTCTTTGAGTACATTCCTGGAATTTAGTAAAATTAAGCAAAACAATGATAAAAGTTGGTAATCATTGGCAGTAACCAGTCTGGGAAGCTATAGACTTTTCTCTTTTTGACAGATTACATTGGTTTGTAGTAGGCACATAAATGAAATATTTGTATGAATAAATATTCCCCACATTTATGAACTCCTGTCATATCCATGGATGTAGGAAATATGTAAATATTATTTGATATGGCCTTAACCTCTGATGTATTCTAAATTCCCATAAAAAGAATAATATTCTCTCTTTCTGTCTGCCTCATAGAACTGATGAAGGCAATAAAATCTGTTAATTACTTGTATCTCCTAGAAGCTATAAAGTATAATGTATCATTATTAATCATTATGCTGTTATCATTAATCATTTTATTAGGGAACTACTGCAAAGAAGTAGAAGTAAATTATGTAGTATTTGACTGAAAATCCAGACTACATTTTAAATATACTAATTACAAAGAAATATGTAAAAGAAATGCAATTATTACTTAACATGAAAACTTGAAAGAGCTTGTTTTAAAAACACCCAGTATATAATTTTCATCAGCCAAGCTTCGTTAGTGAGTTAATTGATTAAGTATTTCTGGATGTAATGCTTTACAGTTTTAGCCCTTATGATTCTTTTTTCAATAGATAAAAACTGAAAGTTTGCTTGTCTGGAATTATGAATATGTCACAAAATCTGTGTATGTAGTTTCCTATACTTCACAGAATTAACTTAAAAACATATTAGAAATGTATATTAATGATAAGGGGACACTAAAATTAGGCGTTTCTCTCATCCTCAGTAGAAGGTCTAGAGGTCTCAGGCCCCAAAATAGGAGTTTTGTTCCTACTGTTTGCAAATAACAGATAGTACAACTTTTTAATAGAAATGTATACTACTTCTTTTATGTTAACTTATTCTTACATTTTATTTATATATTTAGAGCATTATGCCTTGAGTGTACTCACTACTAGAGAAAAGTGAGGCACAGATAATGCCTAGGGAAAAACACAAAGAACTAAACAAAATATACAGAGAACTTTTCTGTTTGTAGAATATTCTTTTTTTTTTTTTAAAGATTTTATTTATTTATTTATTAGAGAGCGAACAAGAGAGAAACAGCATGAGAGAGGAGAGGGTCAGAGGGAGAAGCAGGCTCCCCGCTGAGCCGGGGGCCCGATGTGGGACTCGATCCCAGGACCCTGGGATCATGACCTGAGCCGAAGGCAGTCACTTAACCAACTGAGCCACCCAGGCGCTCTTGTAGAATATTCTTAGAGTATTTTCAAACTCTTTACCATTCCCCTTCAAAAAAAGACAGTTTTCCTCTCACTCTTTTCTGTGCTGAGTGACAGGCCTCATCTAACTTAGCCACTATGGTTGGTTGCTCTGTGCTAGAAAGAAAGCAAAAAAAAAAAAAAAAGGCAAAATGTGTTTGCCATGAGAAATTCCTACAACACATTTTCCATTTATGTGGTAAACTAGCATTCACTATATTTTTGTTGGTTGATAGGTTTTATACAGTTACTTGGAGTAGAATTCTCAGGGCAAAATCTACCATTAACCTTGGATTCACATCTGAGATATACTGTTTATAGATATTTCAGGGTCAAGTTTTGGGGAGATTCGGAGCCATATATCCTGATCTCTAACTATAGCTGTTTCCTGAAAAGACACCAGGTGGAATGATAATACCACTCATGATGGAGATAATATAATGATTTTGGTGAACTCTGAATTGTCTCAACATAATGAAAACTATTTGCTTACATAATCTACTATAATAAATTGGAAACAAAACATTAAGTCAATTGGCATGCTTTTCTAATATCTGTTGTTAAATTTCAGTAAAAAAGTTTTTTTCTAAAAATCAGTTCTCTAAAGAAGATGCACAATTGGCCAACAAGCACATGAAAAACTGTACATCCCTAATCATTAGGAAATGCAAAACAAAATTATAATGAGACACCACCTCATACCCATTAGGGTGGCCACTATTAAAAATTTATCTATAATAATTGCTGTGGAGGATGTGGAGAAATTGGAAACTGTGTGCACTATTGATGGAAATGTAAGGTGGTGCGCCCACTATGGAAAGAGTGGTGGTTTCACAAAATTTTACAATAGAATTACATATCCTCTAACAATTCCATTTCTGAGTACATATCCTAAAGAATTGAAGGCAAGGTCCTCAAGAAGTATTTGAATGCCTATGGTCATGGCAGCATTATTCATAATAGCCAAA